TTAAATAAAAAGTAAACATGATCGGTCATTTATAATTTTAGCGAAACTTTATTTTTACAGAGCGTCTTTCACATAAACGACTTGCCATACAAATATTTGAATTTACAAATCAATATCAAGGAACTCACTTTCTTTAATTTGGCTTGTATTTTCTAGCACTGTACATGTATTACTTTCTTGTGAAATCCTGGATCAGATTTAGAACTTAGTTCAATCAAATTTTTAAACGCAGTGTAAGTTCTATAAAAAAATCAATTACATGGTTGCTGTCTTATCCAGATTATCTACTTCATAAAAATATACATTATTGTCAGTGTCAGATGATAATGGTCGAGATATTCTCTAAAAAAAAACGCAGTATGATATTCTCGAGGGAAAAAATGAAGTGTTTTGTCGAGCCTTTAAACCTTGAAAGGCTTAACTTGGCGCCATTTTCAGGTTGTATAAAATGAAAATGTTATTTGACCAGAATCCCTAAGAAAATACAAATTTACTTTGTACTAATTCAAAACAATTGAAGTTTAAGTGGTTTCTATGAATATCGTGTCATGTTTTCTCTATTGGGGAAGGGAAACTATCAAAGGCGATGAAAGTTCTGAACTTCATGTATACTAAACAGTTAACCTTTAAAATGCGATCTGTTGTGAGGCATCAAACCTTTTCATTGGACCATTCTCTCATGTATATCGTATCCAAGCAGGCAGAATATTTGTTAGGTTCGTTTATTTTAATTCCATTCGGAAAAGGAAATCGGCAAGAGCCTGAATTTCTAAATCGAACATCGAACTCTTGAATCTATTTAACGTTAAAAGTATAATATAAAAGATCCTGAATTTCAGACTCGAACATCAAACTTCTGAATCTATTCAACGGCAAAAGTAATATACCGGAAGCTAAGTAATTTGGAAAAAAAGGAAATGGCATATCAATTTAAAATAAAAAAAAATAAACACGTGACAAACTCCCAAAACAACGGAACAGTGGTTGTCTTTGTTTATAAATCAAAATCAAGTACAGTTGATCCGTGATGAAGTTTGCAATGCTCAGCAACTGACACCCGAGAAGATCTGTCTCTTGATCCTTATTAAATAAATACATGTAAATTTGAAAAGAATTGGTGTAAATAGATTAAAAAAAGATATTAGTCGACAAATGATGGAAACTAGGGTATTTAGTATCCCCCATCCCACCTAATTGACCCCTGACGTTGACTAATTCCACTTATAATCAAAATGATAACTAAAAACAGTACTCACGTGTCTGCTATAATCTTTTGCAGTGTAAATATGATATAATATTTTGTGATTGTTTCTAACATGTGTTTTCATATCAGATCAACACACTCCATGCACTGGTTGTATCAATAAGTTTCTATTTATATTTTGTACTACAATCTTGATGTAGTAGATAAGTATTATGATAACTTCCGGTAGTACATTAGTATATATAGTGTATGTAATTTTGTAAAGGACTATGGTAGAAGACGCAATGTAGCCATTAATGTCATTTATTACGCAATAGGTCAAAAATGAAAAGATTAATATCATGTACATGTAGTTGAACCTATACCCTAATTGTCAACAGGCCAAATTCGTCTGGAATACGACTGAATGAAATATTTGTCACTGGACATTTGGAAATAAACCACCAAACTTGATTGTTTTATCATATTCCGTTAATTGATGCTGATATTAATTTGTTTACTGTAAGTTTGTTGCCAAGAAAGATGGGAGATCAAGACAGGTGAATGGAAAAAATGATGGGAAAATGGGATAAAAGAAAACTACCCTAATTGTCAATCGGTCAAACTGGTAATACGAATGAAATATTTGCCACTGGACATTTGGAAATGAACCATTAAACTAGATTGTTAGATCATATTCCATTGATTGATGCGGAATATAAATTACATACTCTGATTAAGGTTGTTGCCAAGATAGATGAGAGGTCAAGAACGGTGAGAGAAAAACGAAAATTGCGGGAAAATGGGGAAAAATCATGTTAATAAGTAGAAAAAGCGGGCAAACTCTATCATCTCATAAGTGACATTCGCAAAACAATCTCATTACTAGATTAATCACTCTCCCTCTCTTACATCATCATTAAATCGGTTCTGGTGTGGTTCAATCAACATTCCTCGTTTTATTGTACAATGGTTTTCCAACATCATCAGTTAATGAAATCAAATTATCTTAAGTGAAATAATATACTGTCGTGTAGATGCATAAAACACGAAATACCAATGAGCTTCCAAGTACATTAGAGCTAATTAAAGCGGTCATGCGACAGGTGGTGACAATGAAGTTCTTTTCAATACAAGCAGAATAATTTTACCATTGCAATTTGTTCTACATGAGGGTCTGGATGGGATTAACAGAATAGAGAAAGTTAAGCCTACTGCTATTCTTATGGGTCTGGATAGAGAGAATAATGGGCAAAATATATAAAGAATAGAAAAAAAGTACAAACAATAAAGTATAGAGAATAATTGGGTGCTAAATACAAAGAATTGAGAATACTGAGATGCTAAAACATATAGATTTAAGAATAATAGGCCCAAAAAATAAAGAACAGAGAAAAATGGCCCGAAAAAAATTAATACAGAGATAAAAACTTCCCATTCAAACCCTCAGCTAATTCATTGTTATTGCAAAACGATGATTCACTCGACTCTGTAAGACATTTGTTGAAAATTCATGAGCGACAAAAACTCGAGACAAAAGGTCACTTGTCAAGTTATTTTGCCTATTCCGACACTTTTGAATCCGACGGTGTTGGTGTAGAGAAACTTTATGTACATAACAACTGAAACATGTGAACATGACCCCCTTGATATACCAGTAAGCTAGCAATAACATTTCTGATAATCTTATGGATTTCAACCGTCTCTATGGTAAAAGATTATTTTGTTAAAAACACCTGTTTCTTTTGAAAGGAAAACAATAATATCAATTTATATCCTTGGGGCAATTGCTTACAAATGTAACAGCATGATTCGAAGTTCAAATATAAAACATAATCTTGAACATCATTCTTATTATGCAATTTCCTGACTAGATATATATATATGTATACACCTTTCTGTATCCATATGAAAATCCTCACCTTCTGATTTGGGATATCTTTTTAACACCGACTAAACCATTCAATGGCTTTTATACAATCCTAAAGAAACTTCCTATGTATTGTTTCCCGTTGACCCGGAATCAAATTTTATTTTTATGACATAAATCACGCATCGTTTTTAACGACAAATTTTATTCATGTGTTCCGGTTATGAACATGAACTTAAGTACATCTATTTCATTCTTGAAAAGATTATGTTTCTGTCACATTGTGGACAATGTCTGAGCACGATATGAATAATTTAATTCAAATCTTTAAAAGTTGAGCGTGCACTTTATAATAAATTTTTATCTGCACTGAAGGTAGTTGGTGAAATTTGATAAATTTGGATTGAAATAGCTACAAAACTTCGGTATATTTAGGAATTAATAGAAGGACTTGTTGATGGTTACTGATTGTTTCCCGTCCAGTGACAAATATTTCATGAACATTCAGGACGAGGAATAAACTTACACTATGATAGGTTCTTCAATGTTGGTTGTCCGGATGAAAGGAAATTTGGGCAATTAGTGCATGAAAAAAAGAGAAGGGTTATATACGCCAACGAGACAGCTATCCAACGATAGTATAAAACGATAAGATATCTTTAGGTCAACACCTAGTCTTCAACAATAGAGAGTTTTTTGACACTATATCCATGCAGCTTATTAAATCTGCTCCTGATTTTCATATGATGAAGACATAATCTTATAATCAGTTTAATTGAGGTCTAGGGCTGACATGTCAGTAACTGCTAGTAGTCCCTTTCTTAATTTATGTATCATTGTCATTTAACTTAGTTTCTTCTGTTACCTATCTGACATCGGACTCGGACTTCTTTTAAACTGAGTTTTACTGTGCGTTTTGCTGTGTGTTTGTTTATTCTACATTGGCTAGAGATATAGGGGAGGGTTGAGATCTCACAAAACATGTTTAACCTCGCTGCATTTTTGCGCCTGTCCCAAGTCAGGAGCCGTTGGCCTTTGTTAGTCTTGTATGTTTTTTTTTATTTAATTCATTTATAGGTTTCGGAGTTTAGTGTGACGTACACATTTTTGTTTTGGGGCACAGCTGAAGCCCGCCTCCGGGTGCGAGATTTTCTCGCTGTGTTGAAGACCCATTGATGGCCTTGGGCTATTTTCTGCTCTTTGGTCGGGTTGTTGTCTCTTTGATACATTCCCCATTTCCATTCTCAATTTTAGCTTGTCTAGGACGAATGTGAATAAAAACAGAGACAATGACTGATGAAAGTATTGTTCCAGCGCTACTCGTATTGCACATCACAAAATACTGCAAACCATGCAAGATTTAGGCGCTTCGTTGTAGGTCTACCTGTTCGAATATTTATTAACAATTTCTGTTTCTGTTTCTAGATTCTAAAAAGAAACGTGATTGTGTTACTTCTTAATACATGTAGCAGGAAGGTACAAGAGGACGAGAGGGCTATTCCTTGTGTAATTTGTTTACTTTTAAAACCTTCTTGCATGACTCATTCAACGAGTCGGATTAAAAATTTAAGTGGTGTACTTGACCTGGAGAAAACATGTTTCGGTCAGTTCTGTTTTTACATTCTTTTTTTTCCAAATTCCCAAATAACACAAAATCAATCTTCGCTTTTGTAAGTCAATCACTCCCAAGATGAAACAACTGCTATACGTTTACAAATTTTAACAGCGACTTCTTCCGTCTTTTAAGTTAATAAAGAAATCATCAGAAAAAAACTAATATATATGTTAATAAAATTTAAATAGCATTTAATTGAATTTTTTAAAGCACTTTGTTAAAATTTATAATTAAGCTAATCATGCATACCAATCGAAGATCTACGTTTACAAAAGATATAGAAAGATGATTTCGGTCAAGTATTTAACAAATGACGTCTTATTTGTACTGACCTTTAGGCGTGTGATCATGCTAATGGTTTATCTGATAATATGTACATTACCTGCCCGTCCAGGTGTGTAATCCAGGTATGCTATTGAATCCAATCTTGTAAAGTAAACTGCATACAAACTCGTAAAACTTTATAAGAATTGTGCAACAGTTGTTTCGTGTATTGATCTTTGTATAAGTATCACTAGTTCAAGGGTCAAAAATATTTTTCTGTGGTGAAAACTTGTCTTGGCTGATCAATGAACGGGATCAATCAAAACATTAACGTGTATGACAGTTGACACGGAACAAGTGTTCATCCGGACAAATATACATTGGTGTGTACATGTAGCAAGTGTTCATCCGGACAAATGTACATGGGTGTATATTTCATATCTGTATACGTAATTTTCACACGATAATGACGGTGATTAAAGTTCATTACTACATCCAGAGACATATAATACTTGTATTATATGTCTCTGCTACATCTAGTAATTGATTTCAGCAAATAACTATAGATAATAACATTTTTATCGAATCTGAAATATTTTTTGTTGAGGTCATGCTATCGGAGTGAGCCCGAGAACAGACATGCTCTGTGTCAACGGCAGAAAACATGAACGAGGGCCGATAATGGTTTTGAATGAGTCTCATTGGGGTGTAAGCGTGATCCGGCATTGGCCGATTTTTTTGTAAGCGTGACACTTGAAAGTCAAATTATTTTGCGTGAAAACGGGAAACGAAGTCGGGCGAGACACGGGAAATTATAAACGCTATTGTTACAATGATAAGTGGGATACGGGATTCTGACAAAACAATAAACGGGATCCGGGATCAGTCAGATCCCCCCCCCCATGAGACCCCCTTTGAAAGTACCATACATTTTATGGTCGTTTTATCGACACCATAGGGCTATTATATATCCTTCATTCATCATGATTCCTCTTAAAATAAAGAGAAATTCCTGAGAGACTTTAAAGTTAAAGTTATTAAAATCCTACGGGAAATTACATATATTTTTTTCTTTCTAAGCCGGAGAAAAAAAAGAAACATTCAGAAGGTGCTGACAAAATGTTGTAACTTTGATCCTGATGAAAAGTTCAATAAAGCTACAAGGGGTCGAAAATGAGTCCAATAAGTCTGGATTTTATTCTAAAGATAGTATTGAAAGCTATCATTTTTAAATAACCATAATACCATGGTGCAAATTACATATACCCCATCGTCTAACGCCTCCAGGAGTATACTACTGACTTATAAAGTGTATAATAAACTGTATACGTCCGTTATTGAACCAATTTTACTTTATGGTAGTGGAATCTGGGGCACAAAATCGTTCAGTGCCATTTCAGCGGTACAAAACCGAGCATGTAAATTTTTTTTATCGGTGGGGAAGTGCACATCGAACATCGCTTCACGCGGTGATATGGGATGGACTTCACCAATAACTAAACAACGAATAAATAATTGTAGACTTTTGTGCAAGTTGATCCGTTCTGGCCAAAATAGAATTTCTTACAAAACTTTTAAATGGACATCTAGAAGAAGAAAAGGTTGGACATTTGAAGTGCATAAGATTGTTGATCGGATCAGAATAATGGATTCGACGTATGATTCCTAACATCACTGAAAAGACATTAATTGTCGAAATCCGCAAGTTTATTATTTTCTGTTTAGTATTAAATTTATAATTAAGATCCATTTATTACATCGGTGATCCGTTTATTTGGCAATCGCCAATGGCAGTCAGCAGGGTTTAAGAACATTTGTTGTTCGACCTGTTAGTCAAATGCGTTTTGTTAAAATATACTTTTTCACTTTTTTGGTCTTTTAGAAAATGTTGTTTGTGTTGTATTTAGACCCCTATAATAATTTGAATATATTGATTAAGGAATTGGTCAATTTTTGTGGCTTGTATGTTTGTACGTGATATATTTGAAATTTTTATAGAATTTGAAGTTTTATTGTGTCTCATAAGTCGTTTTTATGGCAGGATATTGATTGTTTTATGTGTATATAATTATATAATGTTGCTTATATTTATGTCAATCAGTATGTGACACTTTAATAAACTATTTACTTACTTACTTGCTTACTTCCCAACGAAGAGGAACTATCGATCTAAAGAATGACGGAATTTTTTAACATCTACTAAGTTGTTTCCCAGTAAATAATGAGGATCTGGATGGTGTTTACTGAATAGAGAATAACGAGCACTTATAATATAAAATAGAGAAAAGGGGGCGTTAAAATGTTAGGAATATGGAATATACGATTAAACCGTGAATAGAAGATAGTACCATCAAAATCGAATGAAAAATTTAACAATACAGAAATGAAAACCCCCTCCCTCACAATCCATACCTTCTATCACGAATGCTTAAACGATAAGTTGCGGGAAAGTAAGCAGTTACCCGAGTAAGTGTTTGATTTCTTATACCGGCCATCGTTATTTATAGATTATACAGTGACCATGGGTTGAACCAGGTGAAAACGATCTACCTTTCCGAGATTACATCGAATTGTATTACATACATTTATGTAAAAACTTATTTGCCTCATTACATTCTAACTACTTCTCTTGGGGGTTTTGTAAATCTACTGTTCAAAGTTTTTCGATAATATGTTTTGTTATGAATAATATTAAAATAAATAAATATGCTTTATTTAGGGTCGGTATTGTTTATAAACCAATGACATAACATTGGGAAAAAAGTAATAAAAATTAAAATTATAGTTTAGTCTTTGTGAGGCGAAAATTTAGACGAACTAATTTGCGTTTTTTTTAGACCCAATCCTTTTATCTCCTCAACAGTATAATAGTTATATTGTTTTCTTTACATTCAAGTTATACATTTGTTTATAAGCTAGCCTATTCATCTCGTGTTTGTTTGAGAGAGTTGACAGAATAATGGAATGGAAAGGAAAATGGGGCGAAAGAGAGAACGGATAAGGGAAAAACAACGACAAAATGCAATAGGGGTTAAAATGTGCATCTTCTTATTTTTATATGTAAAGAAAGGGGGGGGGGGTTGCTGTCTCTTTAGCGTTTTACAAAATCTATCATAAATACAACTCATTGTAATTCAAAAGCACACCACTTATAAAAGTTTATGTTGGGTTCATATATACTTCAAATTTCTGGCAGATATCTATTACAGTTTGGACATTGCAAAGCATTACAGTTTGGTTACATATTTAAAATACGATATGATCGAAATAGAACTTCAAAGTACACACAAACCCCAAGAGTGACTTGGGTATAGAAATGTGCCGGGTAACTTTTTTGTCATCTCTGACCGGCAGTAAATCCCTTGCCAAAGCGGGGTGTCCGTTTGACTATGTGGGATCTATGTAAATATGCAACCACGTCCCTTCCGAATGGAGACGTTAATTCCGATGCCTCGTGTAGAGAGAATGCCAAGCTCTCTGAATGTTAAGAACCCTTGTAACAACTCGTTGAGGGGTCCTTAGGTGGCCTGTTGCACATCTATATTTCAAACCCTGTCCAATATACCATCATTTTCCAGTGTCAGTCCAAACTTCCCAATTTCATCCCGGTGGACCTTATAATTAACTAAATGCATATTCAGGAAGAGAACGTGCTAATGCGACATGAGTATAAAGTATAAATCCTGCTTTGTACTAGACCAACACGATAAGCCGGATTTTTAACGTGCTAATTCTCAAGGTAACAGTCCGCATGAAGACAAATTACCTAATACGGACACATTATTCTGACCTCGAGCCGACAGTCTTTACTATTGCTCCTTTATGTCGCGTGCTTAACACTTTTGTGTGACCTGGCCGATGTTCTAACCAATGATATCCTGCTTTTGAGGCGAGCACGCTACCACGAGAGACCAGAGACGGTTTCTTGTATAAGAAGTTAATGCCATGACAAGATTGGTTCTTAAGATGGTTAATATATATATATTAGTTCAAAGAGGTATACAGCTTTTGAAAACTGAATACAACGCAACAATCTTGCCTACCTCAACCCCAAATGGAATATTGTAAAAAATGGAAGAAGGGGGTCCTTCATTAGTTTATTCTTTAATTTTCTATACCATGTTTCTCCTTCCCTTATCTATTTTGCCTATTATTCTCTCGTCTTTATAATTTAGCATCCCTTTATTATCTACTCTATATTTGTTTGTCTATTTTTGTCTATTCTTAATTTTTCCCCTTTATTCTGCACGTTTTGGCCATTATTTTCTATCTATAAACCCCACCAAGACCCTCATGAAAACACCACAAGTCGAAGAAAGACGGATATTACCCTTTCCAATAAAAGAAAAACTACGCAGAAAATTAACGATTGAGCAAAATGAACCGGGGAGACTCAGATGCTTAGAATTTGTAAGCAGTTTAGCCCTATATATATTGCTCCAGTAGATGAGGCATTATATTTCTCCGAAAGCATGCAGAGGAAGGTTTCTAGATGCGTTAATTGCAATGCCTTAGAATTATTTCAGTGTATTAACATACATGTGGGTATATAACTATTGGTATATTTCGAGACTTTATAATGATCTTAACTGTTATTTGGTCATTTCTTAACTTATTTTTTTTAAATTGGCCGCACTATATATATATTTAAGCGTTCACCAGGTGGGTTTCCATTCTAACAAACATGAAAACTATAGTGAAAAAAATACCACTATCCACATTCAGTGGCAACTCTAAGAGAGAAAATAAATATTGTTGGAACACTTGTTGAATGACCCAACACAGTCCTGAATTGTATTTGTAATTATTAGAGAAATTATGTCCCTTTGAAATGTAAGTTATATTGATCATTGCATTGTAAGCATGGTAAGCACTCTCACACTTATGTTTCTTTTTAGATTTTTATGAAACGTTTATCAAAGTTTTGAATTAGCAAGGTCTTGGAAGATTTCAATTATCAGCGCCGATCAACTATTTCTACAGGAGTTATGCCCCTTGAAAAAGTAAAATTTATAGAAAATTACATTGCCAGCAATCTCTTGAGGCCTACATTTCTTGTCGAAAATTTATGAAAGACCAAAAAACAAAAACAAAAAATTGTTTTATTCGCCTTGAACAGATTAAATATGTTCATCGGTAGGGGACATGGAAACGCTGTTCTTTTATTTTTCTGTATTCTTTTTGCAAAACAGTATAACACATATACCCGGAACTCCTAAAAAAATTCTTAAAGGAGAAGTTCATAAAAACTGACAAAATCGTACGTTGTACATTATCAACAAACGGAACGAATGGAAAAAAACTGTCATATTACTGACTTGGTACAGGCATATTCCGAAGATAATGGTAGGTTAAACCTTGGTTTATAGCTA